CGTTTACATATATATATTTATATAATGTATACAGATATATATAGAGAGAGAGAGACAGAGACAGAGACAGAGAGAGGAAGAGGGAGACTGAGAGACATAGTGACAAAGAGAGACACACAGACACAGAAAGAGTGAGTGTGAGAGAGAGAGACATATAGAAATATATGACATATCTTATATTAAAAAACAAAAAAACAAAACAAAAAACAAACAAAAAAAAAACATTAAAATACATTCTATTCTTTCTTGAACGTATTTTCCCTCCAACTTAGAGAACCTACTTCTAAATATAATCATTCTAATATTCTAATGTTCATGCAGCAGTTAACGATTTAATAATATACGACTTGAACATTTAGCTGTGGCCAAAATCTCTTTAAACCTCATTGTCATAGTTATCTTCCTGTATTATATATATATATATATATATATATATATATATATATATATATATATATATATATATATATCGATTCTATTAAACTAGAATACATTTTGCTTTCACACGATTTGGACAATTTTGCTGTTACACCAGATATATTAACAATGATTTTGAAACATTTCTGCACAGATCGTTAATAAAATAGAGAAAGATAGTAGCGCCGATGATAGTATCTCGGTGAAAGCCGGCATTGATCTCATGGGTATCAGTAATCTGACAATTAAGTACGACCCTCAAGAGCCTTCCCAATATTTTACAACATGAGATTTTTAATGTTGACATATTTGCTAAATATTATAATTGCATTTAAACATAGTCATAGGTCATTTTTATGCTTGAGTCTATAAATTGGTATAGATTGTCGATAACTGAATCTGCATGAACCCGTTTGGAATTTGGCTACTTTTAAGGGACATTACTCTTCTGTAGGGTGAGGGGCAATCATGCTGCATTAACGAAAATTATGTAAATGTACAGTGTCTTTTATAAAGTCTATTATTAAAGCGCCTGTTTAAAGCAATTGATTTAAATCATTTAATGGATTGTAAATAAATGAATGGCATTTCTTATCGCATCACATTTTCTACGTTGAATATTGAAGATCATGAAAGGTATATAAGTATTTAAAAATCTTCATACAACTGACAGGTTATAAAATATATAATTACGAATAAAGTCAAATCCTTCATATAAAATCATTCTTTAATTCCGATATCTGAGAAATGACATTATTAGAGCAGAATGTAGAATTGATGTTTTAAGTTTGATTTCCAGCCAAGGCCGCGAGGCTAACTTCCACAAAACTGGGATGAATCCATCACGTCTTACAGTCTTTGTTTGATTTTTAAAACCATTTTTTACAGCAAGTTTCAAGGTTTACAACGCCTGGCGGCCACTCGTGGTAAACAGTTAAGCTTGGAGGCCATTTGTGTGTATAGGAGTGGAAGATAACTGTTAATCATAATCTTGAACAGGTTCAGATTGTAGTGATATCAAACCTGATATGACAACAATACTCCATTTTGTTTCTTCTTATATGGCCTTTGTAAATGTAGAGTATGGAAGGAAGTTGGTAGTTAGAATAGAAAACGGAAACATGGAATTTTTTTTCATTGAAATTGAAGTATTTTGTAGTGACTTTTCAGAAAAACTAATTTTTGATAGCTGTTATTCATTCGTAACAAAAGTGTATACATACTGAGAAATAACTGCCTCGTCTTCAATTTAAAATTACAATTAATCTTCGGAAAACGTTAACAGGAAACTATCTCACATATATATTAACGTACTGAAAATATTCCTCATACGGAACTATGTATGGAAACGAATTTCTGTTAAAATAGCTTTACATCTTGTTAGATTTAGATTATATGGCTATATAATATTCTAGTTTAGGAGAGTTATGTGGACGGTGAACATTATTATTGCAGTGACGTCATAAGAAGTGTACAGACAACTAATATGTAAATATGTTTAATCTTGGCAGCAGCAACCTGAGTATTTACTTTACGTATACAATTGATTTTATAGAACATTTCATGTTGTCTATTTGGAAGACCCAAAAGTATTTCTATTAGTTTCTTAATTTTCTAACTCACGTCATAGGCGATGAAATAAGTTATTATTGAGGCAAGCTATCTTGATATTGCCCGAAGGGAAGGACGAGTTTAATTGTTAATCAACATGGAAGTGATTCTCTCCCAGCGCATATATTCAAGGATACACCTCGATAGGACATACTTAATATAGCAAAACATTCACACACATACATGCGTGCATGCGTGCACACACAAATATATTATATGGTAATGTGAGTATTATGAGGTGATTATGAAAATATTCAGTCACGCAGATACACATGCCCATATAGGTGTGTGTGTTCATGTTGTGTACGCGTACTTGTGATCAAGTGTATATTGTTAAGTGGAATGTCGGACGGCACAGGTTAAATAATGAAATCTAAATGGTGGCCACAGGTAGAAGCATACAAATATTTATTCATATAATCTTTCTACCACATACCGTCATATAAATTTGCACAAAACGCACATTCACACGTATGTTATCGATATAAATAAAATCCCACATACACACACACACAATCTCTCTCACACACATACATGTATGTATATATATATATATATATATATATATATATATATATATATATATGCGTATATATATATATGTATGTATTATACAGCAAAAAATCAAAATTACCTATATATATATATATATATATATATATATATAAGTTGCTATCTAAAGATGCAGATATTTTCTTGAGAATTGAGCTCATATTTTATGCATATTTATATACACGTCAAATCTATCTCTCGATCTCGTACAGTTCATATACTTTACATAGTGTCAATATCTATCTATCTATCTATCTATCTATCTATCTATCTATCTATATATCTAACATAACAGACCAAATGGCCAAACTTTCCCTTCCTGGTTGGGGGAGATCAGTTCAGCAGAAGTCTCTCTCTCTCCCTCTCTCTTTCTCTCTCTCACACACACACATAAACACAAATGCGCGCACAAACACACACTCAAGCACACCCACCCACACACAAAAATATATATATATATATATATATATATGTGAGAGAGAGAGAGAATATATATATAAATATATATATATATATATATATATAGAGAGAGAGAGAAATATATATATATATATATATATATATAGAGAGAGAGAGGGATAATAGAGAAAAAACAACGTATGTGGCTTAATGATTGCGTTTAGCAAGCATGAAACTATCGTCTCTGCGTGTTGACTTCAATGTTCACTTACATATATATATATATATATATATATATATATATATATATATATATATATATTTTTCTCTATTATATATTTCTCTATTTATATATACCGGTCAGTTTAGCATTGTGGTTAGTCTATTTTAACGGTTATTTTGGCGGGATGGTTTGTTAATTATTTTATTATTTACTTTATTTGGATTAATTTATTTTCTTGTTTTTTCCTTATTTATTTTTATTTTATTTATTTTTATTTATTGTCTTCAGTTTTCGGTTTTTATGTAACATAGTAAAAACTGTTTTTGTATCTGCATTTTGAGTTCTGCGAAAAGAAATAGGCCACAACGCGGGCGGAGACATTCTTGCCTTACTGTTATACATAAACACACACACACACATACACACGCACACACACGCATACACCCACATATATCTGGGGTTGTGTATGCCTGCATGTACGTGGTTTCTCTGCAAATCTCCAATTCTCTCTCTTTCTTTCTTTCTCGATTCTCCTCTATAAAACCTGATAGGAAAACTTTCATATTATTTCATAGGAATTATATTTACATCCAAACATAGAACCATACCTCCTTTCGAAATTGTGTGTACCCAATTGTTGAATGCTAAAGCAAACAGTAATCTATTCAGCCTGTGACACAAAGGCTGTCAAGTTTTTCTTTTCCAACAAGGTATTCACTTGGTAATTTCCCATTTTCCAATAGAATTCTCTACCCAATCAGCTAAATACAAGATTTCTTCGCGCTCTCTTACTGCTATAGAATCGTCAAAGGCTTATATGCCTCCTTTATTATCAGGACAAATATTGCCTGCTTCGTTTCACTCTTTTCATCGTTTGATTTATGTAATTTTTTCTAAGTTACCTTTTTATTATTTTAATCTATTCTTTTTTTCTCATCGTACATTCAGGATTCACTTAGGATAGCTACAGAGCTTATCTTCTTTGGGTGTCTTTTTCCTTCTCCTAATTTTCATTTTCTTATTTCCTTTTATAATTTTGCCATTCTTTCTTTTTTTTTTCTTTTTCTTTTCTGTTGTTTTAACTGCTTTCACCTCAGCCATATCTCATTAACACATAACTATAATTCTTTGTTGATATTCGTTTTTCATCCATGTTACTCTTTAAGCATGTTAACTACTTTTTCAGTACAGATATACTTTTATTGCTCTTAATCCCTTTTTTTTCTTATTTATTTGATTTGTTTTAGGTTCTCTCTTCCCTTCGTATCCCTTTTCTTTCTTTCTATTTCCCTTCTTTATTTTTCATTCCGTAATATTTCTTAACTTTTAGGTTTTAGCATTATACTTTATTTCAATTTACTCTCTCTCATCATCTTTTTAACTGTACATACTTAGCTTAATTTCTGCCATTTACAGATTTGTCTTTATTTCGTTAAATGAGTGTTATACATATTCACTTCATCCAATTGGTGACAGTTCCTGTTGTTCTTTCTAGTTAATTTTGTCTCTATTCCGTTTTGACTTTAAATTTCAATTCTCTCTTTCTTGTCCATTAATCATATATATTTTTCCTTTTTTCTTTTCATTTCGTTCCATTGTTTACCTTGAAAATATGTATTTTATTTTATATTACATATGTATTTTGATTTTTGTTTTACTAGTATGTTTATTCATAATTTTTCTTAAGGTTTGTTTAAACATTTCTTAAAATTTTCTTAACTGCTTTATCTGTTTTCTTTTGTTTATTATTTAGCGGTCCCTACACACGTTGACATTTATTTTCATTCTTGTCTTTTTTACTAGTTTTTAAGTTTATTGACAAGCCAACATATTGTTCTTTCTAGCATCTTTAATACATTTTTTTTCCTTTCCGTCGCTAAATTTTTCTTGACTATTTTATTCTAAGTATTTCTTCATTTCTGAAAATAATTCATACACGCTCTCTCTCTCTCCCTCTCTCTCTCTCTATCCCTCCCTCCCTGTTATTCTCTATTCGTTCCGAAATATCTTTTCCTTCAAATTGATCTTCATCTTACTCTTTACAAATAAATGAATGTAAAACTATATTTTTTTTATCTTTCCTTCATTCTATTTTTTTTTAATCATCTTTCAATAATTTTCCCCGGTTCATTCTTTCGTTAAAGTGATCTGCTCTAAACCACCCAATCCGTCAAGCATAATTTTAAAGTTCCATTACTGTGCAAGAAATAATATACGGCTTCGTGTTATTGCTATCACAGAATCGCGATATTTTTTCCCCATCTTTAATTTCGAGTGATTATCTCTATCGACAACTTATTTTTTCCTGCCAAACTAATCCATACTTATAGTTTTTCTTTAAATTATCATAATCGCAACTTGACCCCTGCAGCAAAAATTGGCAATATACTTTTTGCCCTCGATCTATTAAAATATGTAATTCGATTTTCTTGAATCCACTACACGTAGGAATACACGCACAGCCACACACACTAACACATACACTCACAGAAAACGCACACGAACTCACAGACACTTACACAAACACACACATATTATATATATATATATATATATATATATATATATATATATATATATATATATATATATATATATATATATGCGCTATTAGAAATACTTTTAGACGATTTTTTTATTGTCATGTAAAATTTATAAATTTTGTAATTTTTAAAATATTATTTTCTGTGTTGAGATATTAGAGAAGTAAACAGGAGAACCCGGAATATATTTTTAAAAAAAAATTGCACTAGAAAATTATATCAGTTTTTATTGATTCACATGAATTATTCCTGCCAGTAGGCTTTCCTCATTTGGCCTATTCACAAAATATAGGGTTAAAGTTTAATACGTTCACCGATATTGTGCAGAAAGTAGAATGTAAAAATTGATTCTATCGTTACTCTTTCAGTTTACACTGATTCTCCGTGTTTTTTCTAGTCTATGAATTGGAAATCGAGTATAAAACCCGAAAATATGCATATATTTTTAATGTACGGTATGTTTAGAACAAGAGAAAAACAGTGTGACAACTGTTATTAACTGAACTCTCAAGTAATGGGCAAGAATACGACCAAATATACTTAACAGGGCTCATTTAAACATCGATTCCGGTATGATCAACGAAGTTAAGCAATATCCCACCTGGTCAGTATCTAGATGTGTTACCGTTTGGGAATACCAGGTACTTTAAAGTTTGGTTGCACGGGTGATGTAAGAGATAACGTATCAAAGTTGTTAATCCGTGTGCTAATTCTAAATCCTGACGTACTCATGAGAAAGGCATGAATCCACCTATTCTCCTCCCAGCCATGGGTTATTTATTAAGACTAGTATCAATAAATCATTATTATCTATAAAATAATCCGTACAATCTAAAAAAAGGGAAGATTTCCCGTCTTTAAATAATCTGGAAAGTTGATAGTTCGTAGAGAACAAATCAAACGAATTCTGTTCCTTTGGTTTTAACGGTTAATAATTTGGGTTTTTTGGTCTATAACTGGGTTATTTTGGTGATTGGCATTGCAAAAAATAAACACATATTAAGTAGGAACACGCATTTGTATAATTATCTATTATATAAGAATAAGGTGTCACTGCCGAGACTTGAGTTTGAAAATAGATCGCCAGTGAGCAAACACAGACGACACCATTATTGATTTAAGTAGACCATAGATGAAATGTATATACGTAGGAAGTAACTGACGACTAACGTTCGCTATTTCTAGTCTATCCTCTATACTATAGGGATCGTTATTTCTAGCCTATCCTCTATATTATACGGACCGCTATCCCCTACTCTATTTACTATACTATTTCTGTTGCGGATCATTATACTAGATTACTTTTCAGCGAGTATTATCGATCAAGTACAATTGGTGCGAGATATTCGAAGGCGTCTGACACCAGTATTGTTCACCGGCGTACTATAGTTGCATCTTGGATTACAGAATCTCTATTACAGCGAGCAGTACGGAAGTGACAGCGAATATTCGTTGGCAGTACAAAAGTGGTAACAAGTGTTCGTTGACATCACAAAATCAATCCAATTGGAAGCAACGGAATTTTTATCTACCTGCCTAGAGACAGAAAATGTACGTCACGTTATGAATCGAATATGTACTCCTGTTTTCAACTGGGTGTTCACTCTCTGCATCCACTAAACAGAGGGTTTATATTAACGATAAATAATGTTACCCCTTCCCTCCCAAACATATAAATTATTATGATTGTTATCGATTATTTAATCATTTCACGCCAAATGCTACTCAAATACAGGGGGTTAGAGGGTGTAAAACTAAAAGAAAAGGTTAAATATAGGGAGGACTGATGAAAGAAAAAAAGATGAATGGGATATTTTTTTTTAATTAATATTATTTGAAAATGCCTAATGAAGAATGATTATCTCGGTGATTTATTAATGAATGAGTCGATTTTATTGTATTCTTTTACTTCCAGTAAAAAGCCATCTATACTCAAAGTATTTCGTTATAATCCAGTATGCTCTCACTTTACTCGTAAGTCAACTAGTGATTTTCGAAGCGTAGCTCAGATGTGGCACAGGGCCGAAAGTATGCGGCACCCAGTGAGGATCGAACTCACTATTCAGTCGTAATTGTTCTAGCGAGACAAGCTTGCTAACAATTACACCACCTCGAGGTGCCCAAAAAGATTTTCTAATTGCAGCTCAGATGCGGCACAAGGCCGAAAGTATGGGGCACTCAGTGACGATCGAACTCACTACTCAGTCGTAATTGTTCTAGCGAGACAAACTTGCTAACAATTACACCACCTGGAGTTGCCCAAAAAGATTTTCTAAGCGCAGCTCAGATGCGGCACAAGGCCGAAAGTATGGGGCACCCAGTGAGGATCGAACTCACTATTCAGTCGTAATTGTTCTAGCGAGACAAGCTTGCTAACAATTACACCACATGGAGGTGCCCATTTGTTAAGTCAACTAAGTACACAGTGATTATCCCATAACTGTAATGAACTTAACATAAACTGAACTTAATATAAACTGAACTTAATATAAAATAACTTTTATTTTACTGATGTTTGGCTGTCAAAATATTCATATCTAAAATTATTGGATGACATAAGACGATCATTTCTTTTAACAACGAAATCTTCCGAACGATTTCTCGACGAATGAGTGAGGAAGATTTCATGAGAAGCAAAGAAACAAAGAAAAAAATGTGCTGAACCGATATGCAATATCAATCCTTCTTTATGGCAAACAATGATGGATAAAATCCTCTCAGATGAATAGGAAATTGAGGCAACATAGACGGGATTCTACCGAATGATATTACGAATGGGGGAAGAGCATTTTACACCCATACTACACAGTGAAGGGATCGAAACAGCTTTTAATCCATCTAAGGTGCTTGCATAAACGGATGCCAGAACAGGGTGTGGAAGCGAAAGATAGATAGATAGCAAACATTGGTCAGATTTGCAAAGAATAGAAAGATGTCGAGAGCCATTTTCACTTATGCAACGAAGGACACGGCATATAAAAAATTACCTATATTGTGTTCCCTTATTTTCTATACAAGTGTACATATTTTAAGTGCAAGCGTGTGTAATAAGACATATCCGGTTAAATTAGTTTTTGTACGCATTTTCTTTTAAATGATATAACCTGATGCAAAGAAGCAAAATTTCTAAGACACAAGGCCTTACTGAGTATGAAAGATTATGAAAAAAGAGAAACATTATTAAGTAACGAGGACAACAGAAGAGTCATCATGAAGACAGTAGATACGGATTGAATTTGCATTTAACATTTTGAAGATCAAAGTTGGCTGGAACGCATGGAGCTGGAAAACAATTTCACAAACCAGAAGTGCGAGAAAAGAAACTGTTACCATAGGACTTATGGTTACATCTAACCAATTCAACAGTGGTTTGATTAGACCTTGCCGCTAATCTAGTACTTTGTTTAAATTCATAAAGTCTAGATGCCATTATATTGATTGGCAAAGTCACTGTAACCGAGACAACAAGTCAGGACCAATAATATTACTGCTCCTCTTTGGCCTTTATCAAGAATCTCCAAATACTGGGCTAAGTGGAACAGCAATGGACAAATTGTAGACTTATGAATATGTAAGATGGATACAAGGGAGACAAATTGTCTAGCACAACAGTGAACCAGCGTTCAGAGCAGCAGACATAGTAATGTATTCAATATTACCGGAGACCGAAAAGCCTTTTGTTTTGAATGTTATATATTTCCTCAGCTGCTAGGCTGCCGCATAAACTTAACTTCACTACGCTCTTGTTCCTCTCGTTAATCCAGTCTTCTGATATTACATATAATGGTAACTTTCGTACTTGCATTTCACTTGAGAGTAAGAATCTGTATCGTTTTTCTCTGAGGACATATTCTAGCGTTAAGCCTAATTCGGTAACTGTTCTGGTGTACAAAATAAAAATAAAATTTCTTTCGCTATTCTTTCAAAAAGGGAATAATTTACAAGCTATTTGTGACACAACCTATAGAATCTTGGAATAAGTTGCCATGGCTTTATCAAACTAAATTAATAATGCATATCCCACATTTATGCCTTTGAAAGTTATGGATGACCTAGAGTTGTGCTTTTGAAAATTATAGCTAAAATTCGATTATTATTCATACATATTTTGCCTTGCAGTTAAGGTCAAGATTGTTTCTCATTCTTCATTTAAAACTTAGACAATCGTGTGTGTCCACAACTTCCTGTCTTTTGTAACGGTAATAAGATTTATCTTTTCGCTATACCTCTCCTATTCCCTGTTCTGCCAACACAACACATGCTCATTAGGTTGGTTATTTGTTTACTTTGATTACAATATATTCTGTGAGAATCAAATTTTTAAACCGTGTGTTACTAGATGAGGAATAACCAAAACGGAGGTTGGAAATGAAATGGTAATCTTTATAAGATCAACAAAATAGAATACTCGACAGCGGCGTGAATTAGGTAAACCACTGCGAGTGGTGGCTACTTAGACAGCATATTACCTCCACTTACAAATGTGCCCAACGTATATATGAGGATTGTA